GATTTTGAACGTTCATCGAAGGTTTTCTGGTGCGAAATTTCGGCACTACGTTTCTTTTGTGTGCCTTTCACCATTTTTAGGGGTAAGCAGTTTTGTGCCCCCACGAAGTAGTCCACAGAATCCAAACACCAAATCTGCACTTGAGCTACGAAAGGCTGTTCTGCAACATAGATGACATTATATTTTTGTCTTATCTAATCTAATCTAGCTCTTTTGAAATTCCAACCCCGAGAAATTGAACGTAGGTCACGACCTCGAATTATCATATTATTTGTGACTTCTACAAGATTATGGGCCTAGATCGATACCACATTTGATTTACCCCGCTTATCGATCCTCAATCTCGTTATTTCCTCTTCAGGTTGCCCACTTTTACAACTCCATAGACAGTCAAATGATCCCAAGCCAACAGGCTCTAATGCTTAATTCAGCTATGGCCTTCGAACGCCTAATCAAGTCACCAAAAACACAATTCCGCCTGCCGCCTTCGGACGGCAACAAACCAAAGGATCTTGAAAACGCCATTACATGGAATCAAACTGAAGAACTGGAATCTTACATCAATCAGCTACAAAACGCATCAAGGCAGTTGATGATGGAGAACAGAAAACTACGTAAAGTTCACTTTACTATTATGGAAAAAGTGAGCAAACGTTGTTCTGGCTTTCGGGCGAATAAGCTGAAGCATTTTCAAACGGTGCCCAATTTTCCGCCTTCATGGCTTGTCGGATGATGCTTCCACTTTGGTTTCGAATACTTATAATCTCCAGACTGTTCGCTAACCCATAGAGCGGTTTAGGTGTACAATGGAGAAACAAGACAAACATCAAGCTTTCGTTCCTCACNATATATATATATATATATATGACGGTCTGTAGTGTCGAGCGCGAATATTGAAACAAAACAACCAGTGAATCTATATTTTCAGACAGTTAGAACAGTAAAGTAGTGAGGCAGTTGATCGGATTTCAAAGCCCATTTTTCCAGCGAACGAATCATCTCACATCTTGGATTTCAAACAGAACTGTGTTGGAGAGACCCATTTTCGCCCATTCTCGTGCTATAGATAGGGAGCCAATAAGCAGAAGCCATTGGCCGAATTTTTCCCAACTTATATCAAAAACAGTATGTAGTAATTACCAGAAAACGCCCTTCCAGACCAGTTGCACCTCCTCTTGCGTTCAGAACAGTGCGTAATAAGAGTAGGGTAAGAGTGCAGAAAACGTGCACAGTTACGTTGGTTCACGGATTCGTTATTTTAGTGCAATGCAGTGAGGTTCTCCTTATTTCTTTTCAAGGAACTTTAGCAAACAGCACCCGATGGTTCTGAAGCGAATATGCGCTTTCTGGGTTTATGATCCAGTTCGAGGTAGGTAATGGTAATTCCGTTTTTGCTCGAGGAATAACTGGAGTGAAATGCGTTTCGTTATTGCGCTCCTCATTTTTTTACTGATAGATTATTCGTCTTCTGGACGTCGACCTACTTCGTAACCAATCGCGATGGAGAAATGAATTAGCCGACGTTCGGTACATGCTTGCCGAACTTGCGAATCAAGGTGGCTACCCGGCAGATCATATGGCCCCGTGGAAGGCACATTTAGACCGGCAGTTGTACAAAGTTTTGGAATATCAATATCGGGTCGGTTTGGATGAGATTAATGAACGGATGCCCGAAATTCGAGTCGACATGGTCTATCAGCAATCACGTTTGGCTTTTAAACCTCCTTTTGAAGAGGTAATATTGTATGATACGGACTTGTTAAATAATGTGCTCTGACATTTTAGTTTGCTGCTATACTTTGAATTTGCAAAGGTTTGCTTATTTTTCCGAGCACTATTCATAGTGGGCACTTAGGGTTAGTAAGATGTGTCAAACCAGCCGTTGCTTAGATAGTTCTCCAATCAACATTTGTGGAGCTCGATGAGCGACTTTAGAACCAGTTTCAAATTCCCCACAGAATGTGCAAAAATAGCGCTTACAAACGGCTACCTTTGCGCTCTTAAGATGAGCTGGATTTTTAGCCAAATCGACATACTTTGACCAAATTAGGTCTGTTTGATATCTCTGTCGGGCTTCAGGCTTGCTTGGGGCTCAGTGGATGCTGACAGTTGGGCTAATCGGTCGGTTCAACCAGAACGACCAATGACTCGTCATTAGAGGCGTTGGGCTAACCAGTCACTTCGCGCAACTGTGAAAACGCTTACCCACTAAGACGTGATTATTCAGTTGCGTCCAGCGTGTTCAACGTGGTGTAGTAGCTAGCCGCATATGTTTGGATCCCGGCGCGACCAAGGAGAGGCTCTACTGTTGAGGTCTAATACGAACGAACTCTAGTCCAGCGCTTCCCATCTTTGGTGTTGACTAACCAAAATAGTTGAGTCGGGACAGAAGGATGTCTGTTCAAAATAGAGTGATATGAGTGTCTACATGATTTTAGTAGCTTCAAACGACTTGTGCAACCAGAAGCAGCGTGACGTGGAATCTTGCCGCTGGTTCAATTAAACAAGTGTTTATGAGCGAAGCCTGAAAAGGGCAGCATCCAAGGTTCTCAAAGATGATCAACACATTTCGGTTACGGGGCTAGCGTGAGTTTTTGGTTATCCGGTCTTGGTACTTACCACTGTTCATAGTATCAAAGGCTAGGGCTCTTAGGCTGCAAAACACAAGTGACTACATTCTATCGTTTCAGAGGGGTTTGGTAAACAATTGGTGGATTTATTGCTGGGCAACGTTTCGCTTTTGACACAAAAGCTTCGTCAGGCCAAGTGAGTAAGTAAGTAGGTTGATTGGGTTTTAAGGCAGTCAGAGAACCAATCCGTGAGATTCCTCATGACTAGTGACGTGATCAGTGCTGGGTGTTCAGTCTGATGTCCCTTTACGTGTCCGCTGGTCAGCTTGCATCTATAATGTTATCACCAATTATTCTCACCCTACTGTTTAACGATCAAAAGTTGTTGGTCGGTTCAGTGAACTCGGTAGTTTGCCTGCAAACGTTTGGTCACGATTTGAGAAGGTGTGAGCATGGCGCACTGAAGATTTCTTCTCGACCGGTGAAGAAAAGCTCTGAGGTTAACTGCCGAGGTAGGAGAACAGATCAGCAGCCAGTGAAGTCTGCTACCAATATTTACACCCACACTCCAGCCCTATTTTTTATCCGTCCTATAGTGCAAACCCCCGAAAAGGGTTTGGAGACCTCTGATATAACTTAGTTACGCGCTTATGTAACACAAAAAGGCCTCCTTCTAAAATACACCTCCTAACCAAAACTCTGCTTCAGATAAAGGCCAAGTATTACCGTGAAATGCGCAAATTCATTTGCATTCCCAACTACTTTCGCGGAGTCAGCGACCTACCGGCGATGGCAAGAGATGTGGATAATTCTGAACTACCAGAGCTCATCTTCCCGCTGATTCTGGACAACCAATCCAATGGTCTACGTGTGTGCTATCGCAAAGCAGAATTCCTATTCACTCGCCTGATTGCCAGTTTGGACCAATTTCGAAACTGGGTGGTTTTGGGAAGTGTGAACTTGGATGAGCTAGTCGACTCACACTGTCGGGATTTGGCGGATTTCGAGAGAAACTTTCGTGTACGTTTAGTTCCTTCTGCAGCCAGAAGCTTTTCTGTTAAACTGCTTCATGATGTCCCCTCCACGGAGCTGTGGATGCCACAATTACAGGAAGAGGGCACATTGCTATATCACGAAGTAGTAGTATATGAAATAGATGTGGGAGCGGAATGCGAAAATAAGTTATTTTATTGAGCTTTCGACTTGTCAGCGAAGGTGATCAATGCTGAAAAGCCAAGAAGCACTCACTGGGAATCACTAGCAGTGTGCATCTCAACAAACTCCACTAGGTTTCGAAACCGTGACATTTCAGCTAGTGATTGATTACTTAACCGCTCGGCCATGACTTACTGGGCAGCAGAGTGGTTAGCTGTCACCTAGGCAGGACATAGCACCGTTTATCCTTAAAGCACAGATTCCACATCACGCTTACACCCGTGATAATCTAGATACATGTCAGAGGAAGTATATAATTCGGCAGTCGTCACTCGAACCTCTTGTCGACACGTGTGACCACATGATGTGAATCCCATAGTTGAAGGACGAATGGTGCTGTATCCTGTCCGAATGCAGGCTAATCACACTGCTGATCAGCCACTCGAGACCAAACGACTTGCTTTTCAACTGTTAGCCGGGAACTTGCGAGTTCAAATCGCCCTGGAGCTATGCAAACTGCACACCGATGATTATTAGTCACAAGAGTGAAGCTACTCAGTGCTTCCCTGCTTTTCAGCGCAGTTTGGCTTAATTTGCAGGAATAAATCTCCATTGGCTTAGATAACCACTAAGTTTTACTTCCACAAACAAATTTACTACCGTTCTTTTTTGGTCATTTAGTGGTTTCCTCTCAGAAGACATCATCAAAACACCAGGTGTGCGCTCTGACTGCGCTGAAGGCAGCATCCCAAGTTATGTATGTAGAAGTTAGGTTGATATACGTGTACACGTATACATGTAGAAACATGTTTACTTGTAACGATTTAGCCCGTGAGTTCATCGCTACTTACAAATGGTATTTGAGGACACTGCCGCGAAAGCATGTGTCATAAAAAAGAATCCTAGTGACTGAAAAATGTAGAATCTTCTGCACTGAAGTCTCCGCAGGAACCTTTAAATATGATGACATATCCAAACATAACTAATATGATAGTTTGGAAAATATATAAAGATGGCCGTAACTGCACCAACGTGTGAGCATCTTTTTCGCAATCTTACCGTGAACATGGCATAGAAAACAAGCTTTTTTGGTGAAAACACCGAATGATCTCTAGTACAGAAGTTGTGTTCTCTGCGGTTAAAAACTATTAACACGATAGGATGGGTGGGTATTTTGGGCAATGCACTGTAGTGGCAGAAATGCCGGAATACACCACGTGTACCTTAAGTTAATACTATTCTTACTTGGATAGAGGTTCGGGAGAAACAGGGAAGGTCGTCTTTGAGAAGGAGAAATATTCCCATCAGCATCTGTCTGTTTTGACGTAAAGCAACATGATGCCTCTTAAGTCCCGAGAGAATAAATTTGCCTTTGGACTGAGCGACCTAAATACTGAAACGCGATTGGCCAAAATCTATACGACATTTTCTGAAGATAATAGTCTAAGATGACCTATCCATGATTCTTGTCTATAACACACGTGATCAAAAAGTGTTCACATACCCGTTATCCCACCTCGCTCCTGTCTAGTACAAGGTAGGGGTTTTATAAGCGGAATTGGCTACATTAATTACCTGACTACGAATGGAACTACTAGAATTCATGCTTGGGGGCTAGCAGTGTCCCTTTTTTTTACAAAAGCCACGTGCTCGTGTTGTGTATCTTCAAAATCACTTGCAACCCTCTTTTGTTTAGGCTTTGAAAACGCGTGGACGGGACGCAGAGAAGTTGCCCACCGAGATCAAAATTGACTGTGTCACAGTGAACTGCCTGCCTGTGAAGAATGCCATCGAAGGCATGTTGCAGAACTTGTTCGAAACACTGCAGACCTGTCTGCGGCGTTCAATCCATGGGGAATTAGTGGCCGCCGATGCATTTCTAACTGGTTGGTACCTGCGACTCACAATGGTTTTCACTTTTTTACCACGTCACTAAATACGATGGTATGAACGTGTACCCCATATTTACAGGAGCATTGCAGGTACTATTGTGTCCCGACCTAAGCTACCTGAAATCTTTGTTGTTCAAACTAAATCCAATACAAAGCAAATGGCTCATTTCGCGCGCACTTATGTAAATTTTATTAAGGTGGAAAATGAACCCTGGATGAACACACCATCTATTTCCAGCAATACTTCAGGCTTCACGGCAACGATTTCAGAGGTCTTTGGAATTAATCTAACGAAACTCGGCGTTTCATTAGCTAGTGTCCACTAAATAGTTGTGCTTAAAGGAGTGCAATTCAAGTGCCGGCCAATTTGGTGCATAGTGCTACCTCCTGAATGAAGTATTTTATGCCGAAACTTCTTTTCTCGGGATGCATTATATTCAGTGGTTGTGTTGCGTTGGCTACAGGTAACAGTATGAACAGTTCTTTATTTAATGTTCTAGACGCAACACACTGCTCATAACGTTACTGAAAACTCCTCAATAGCCCACGACCGGTGTCGCTCTTCTTGAGACCCATTCAGGTAGGCGCAGTCCCTGAGTTTCCGTCAGCCTTATGTTCTACTTGAAGCCAGATTGGAAAGATTTCGACGTACACCCATTTTTGCCCACCATTTCCGTTTTAACAGGAATTGAAGCGGACCATCACAGACGGGAGCTTGAGCTGGATTGAGTTGAACCTCCCGTCAAAACCAAATTTGTGTGCAAATGAGGGAGGGTATTTGTAGTTTTTTGAAGGAACACTGGCTACAAGGTAACCAGAAATTTAGCAACAGCCCATGATCGGTTTCGCCGTTCTTCAGACCCATCAGTTAGGCGCCGTCTTTGAGCTTTCGTCATTCGACTTTACGTTCTACTTCAACCGAAGTTGGACGGAATTCACGAGTTACACTCAACTGTACACTAGCTTGGTTTCTACAAGAAGCTCAGTCGAATCCCGGCTAAATCTCTCGTTCGTGTTGTTTGGCTGAATGTGCTGCACATAGGCTGCTTCATGTTTTAGTTGCTTCAATAATTGAGATATCGCCTTATTTGTTCGTGAAGGTTACTGGAGAACTCTTCCACAGCCCAAAACCGATTTTGCTCTTCCACTTTGACTTGTTTATTATTTATTTTTCCTCGGATAATACATCTTACTCTAGCTTCGACAACTGTCTTACTGGCAGCGTCTAAATTATACGCTTTATACATCCCAAGGATTTGCGCTGACGGCTAATTCAGATGGCGGTATTAGCAAACTAAAGAACTGTAATGCGCGATGCAATTTCAAATAGTACAGTAGCGAACACTTACCGCGGAATACAAGGTATGAATTGCGATACATATTATTGACGACACTGCGCGAAGTCTTTTTGTCACGACAAAGCAATTACTTCGATCATTTCCGTTCGTTAGATGCCTTGGAGAAACTGTCGTATCGACCGCAGACGGTGGACGAACTCAGTGAGGCAAAAGCGCGCGAAGTTGAGTTTTCTAAAGCTCGAAGCCGATTGGTCGAACAAGTGACGTGCGCGGAGGCCAAGGATCGACTTCTGCGTGGAGTAGCTGGATCAGGTGTGCAAGCGTTAGGGGCGACAAAAGCAAAGTGGGACAAATTCCAGCTGATGATGGAGAGTTTTAGGATGATGATGAATGAACAACTGGAGGTGAGCAGATAAGTGAGCTCCGGTTGAGCCAAACACTTCCGGACAGAATTCGTCCTTTTGTTCCCTGCCTCTCTCTAACAGCTTTGACAGCCTTTTAAACAAGCACGACACCGCTATTTCAGTTACGTTTGAGAAGACAGTCACACTGGGTTGGCAGATTCGTTAGGCTGGTACTTCTGGGGAGGTCTTGTTTGTTTTAACTTTGAGGAGCTCTACACGCTTGATAAGCTCTGTAACAAGACCTTTTTGGATGCGAAATAGCTTCAAATTACTTTTTCGTTTAGTTTAGTTAAGTTTGCTGGAATTCATGTAGGTGTTCATCAGATCAAGTCTAGTAGTTAACTTATTCGAATGAGAAATAAGTTGAGAACTAGGATTATTGTTCTCCTATCGACAACACCGGTCGTAGACCGTAAAAAACATCATACACCGGCTAAACTACTACAGTACATGGGCGAATTGTGCACTGGACGCCATCACTCAAAATATCTGACCGTAACTTTAGTTATAATGACGTTGAGCTTGGAACATGTCTCTTTAGTTTGGGGGTTCATTAAATGATTCATCTGCATGTCGAACTTGACGGCACGGACATCGGGACGCCTCTGGGTGCACGACGAAACTGCGACCAAAAGCGTGTCTAGCAATTACCATGACTTGTCTCGGAGTCACCATCCTGATTGGCGGCGGCGACTGCGTCTGTATGTATTATCTTTCACCTTTCTTTGTAAGACATGTCATGCAGCATTCCATCCTGTGTATACAGCTTGCGGAAAAGGGTTGTGCTAGGTAGTGGTCCAGCTGCTAAGTTTTAGCAATCTATCACAATCAAACACACGCTAACATGTGTCTTCGCGTCGTCTCTGGTCTATAGAGTGAGTTCAATGGGTAGCAACTTAACACGGCATTCAGGATTTAAAAATAACGATAAAAAATGGCCATTCAACTGTGATACCGTTACGGCGCTTAGCTTCCATCTCACCCGAAGAAGGTACGAGTGCTGAGCCTAGGCCAGTGTACCGAAGCCTAGACAGGTTCGGTCTGGATGCCGGTGTAGGGTTCAAACCCTGGACTTTCCCGTCAGATATTTCGCAACTTAGCCGATGAGTTTCCTCGCGAATGCGGAAACTCTGGTGTTTCCGGCAGTTTTTTTTGTTATCTTCTCAATTATAAAGCTCCATCTACGTAATTATATATTGTTATATTGCAGTTGAGCATGCCTGATCTTTCAGGGGCCTTGTTGTCATTGGTAGTGTAGACAATATTGAGAAAAATTACTGCTACATATCAAGTCAACTTTTCGACTATATTTCCTGGAGTGTTACTGTGTGAAGTCACCAGTTTCAGAGATCTAATAGAAGTTTCTTTTGTCATGGTTCAACATACGGTATCCCCAAATAGGTTAAGCGTTTACCTACAACTCTCCATGGAAGTAAATCTGCAAGTGCAATATTTGCCATTGATGAAAGAAGGAGGAGGAATTTCTTTGCAATTTCATGGAAAATATGGATAGGAAAAAATATATGTTTATCGTCCGATGCGATTCCTTTCTTTTGAGTATCCCAAATCGCACAGCGGTGGATTTTTTCGCGGTGTGCCCGTTGACTACTGTGTGGTTGTTTGACGTTGGTGTACTTTGTACACAGGGGAGGTACCGTAGAAAATACCATCTGCGATATTAAGTTTGATACAGGCACCCCATCTTATTATCACTATGGTTACTTGCATACTTTGGATTTTGCCCAGTTGGGATAGAGTAGGATGGAGTTAACGGATCGGTGTGCTTTGCGGGCATGTATTAGAGTGTGAATGGCGCGTCGATCAGTTTTACTGGCTGAATAAGGCTGATTTTTACGGGCCCCATTTTAGTATCCCGTCACCAATGTGGCAAACGCTAGTTGGTACTGAGCTAAGGTCAGGAAAATTGAAACCTGCGCAATGTAGATCCTTGCTGTGGCATTTCTCCAGTCGCCATTTGTCACAGTCTTGTCGGCAGTCTAGTTTCTAGGATACTGCCTGTCCGAACCAATCATGAGCTTGGAGTTACTCCAAATACTTTTCTGTGAACTTTAAATCTGAATGTCACCTATATGGACAGGAAAGTTGAATTAAAGAATAAAACCTTGTGTAGTCAAAATTTGGTAACAGTAAGACCAATTTAGTAGTGTTCGCCAAAGGCTCTTGTAGGCAAGTGACATCCTTTCAAACAGTAAATTCTGGTGAATTCAACACTGTTCCTCACAACTGGTACCCCGATGAGTGTGGAATGAACTAAAGCTCACTTAATGGTTTCATCCTTTTTTGGAAACTAATTTGGTTTTTCGAGAGACTCATCTAGAACCCAGCTGAATCTCTCGTTTGTGATGTTTCCAGGCAACTGAATGTGCTGCACCGGGCCGCCTCATGTTTCAGTTGCTGCAATATTCGGGATATCGTGATACAAATATATTTGTAATGCGTTACTCATAAGGTTACTTGAAATTTACTGAAGGCCCACTACCGGTTTCGCCCTTTTTGGGGCTCATCAGGTAGGCGCAGTCCCCGGGTTTCCGTCAACCTTATGTTCTACTGTCGGTGAAAAGGGGATATGGAAAAAGCATTGTCTCATTAAACGCTTTCTGGTTGGAATTCAAATGGTCCCCCTTGCGCTTGCTTGGAAGTACCGCGGAACATGGCACGCAGCCAATCCCAGTAACGAGCTCGCTTCCACTTCTTAAAAGAAAGATTAGCTAACACCTGTTTGTTTTTGTGTGCTTGATTTGTGTTGGTTGAGGTTCACAAAGGATATTGGGCCAAGCCCGCCGATAGCGTTTCACTCCAACATCATACTCATGTGTTCTTCTCAGCGGCATCGGCAGAGTTGAGCATCTCACTCCTGGATGTTTCCTCTGGAGACACGAGGCCTCTTCCTGTAAGTGTCTACCCCCACCCGCAGACTTCTTTTTCATTTTAGCTAGGGCCTTCTACCTTTTTGATTGTATGGCGTTTGGCCTGCTGATCCGTTCCAGTCTGTGATTATGATGATGATCACACCAATCCGGTGTTTTCAACAATCTTGTTCCGGAATGCCAAGCCTTAGTTTGATCTCCTTCGTCATGGGATGCGAAACATGCAGAACATCAGTTGACGTGTCTCCCGTTATCATTGGCACAAAATGGGCATCGCATGTCAAGTCGCTACCCGAGAACTGCAGAGTTTATCTAGTCGATGGCTGATGAATTAAGTTGAATGCTCTGGGGAAACCATGAGTTGGAATAATCGGATCGTATATATTGTTGCTTTCCATTTCTTCCGGTTCTTCGTATAGGTCATGAAGTCAAATGTGGAAGCAAGGACGAAGAATTATGTGAACTCACTTGAGAAATTTGCAAGTCGTTGGCATCAGCTCAAACCAGGACATGAATTGTTGGACAGTGGAGACCGCGAGGCATGCAAAGCCGCCATCTACTTGGTTCGTGAACGACAGGCGGAGTTCACCGAACTTGAAACGCTACGTGAAAGTGTTATGTGAGTCACGTCTTTGGCATCTATGATCTCCGCATATTTCTGTTCTATCAGTATTCCATCCAGGTCCCTTTCGTCCCTATGTCATCTTGGCGGTTAGCGACCACCATAAAGAGGCGTGCTTCTGTTAACCGGCATCGTACAAGTGGTTCCGTCACTTTGTGGTTTCTTTCATTGGTCATTTCCGCTTGCTCCATTAAACAGACGTGATCATGTGCACTTTGAAATGACTCCACCATCGTTTGGACTGGCTGAAGAACTCGCCACAGATTTGAAAACCTATGAATCCATGTGGTCCGAATTTGAAGCCTTTAATAACGGAGTAGAGGAGTTCGCCAAAGAAGACTGGATTTCCTTCAGGTAAGCCCCAAATTTCCACTAGTAACCAAAGCGCTATTGCTTGTTCGTTATTTACCCAAACTATAAGTAGACATTTCATTTGCACGGATATGATGTGATCAATTAGTCGTCTGAAGTGTCCTAATAGAAGTCAGGATATGTCGGCTTCACTGTTTGCTGTGTTTTCACTCCAGAACGAAATACTACTTGTTTGATGAATTTCTTGCCTCGTGGTTCAACAAACTGCGCGCAACTGAAGTCACTCCAATGACGGTCTGCTTACAGAAGGCAATTGATCAGTATCGGGTAAGTGTAACGTTCTTGATGGACAGCTCACCGTAGTTCTGCAGATCATAAACGAGAACTTGGAATCTCGTTTGTTGTAAGTTCAAATTCCCTTAGATGGTTGCTAGTTGAGAAAGCGTGAGTTGCCACCCTTATTGTTGCTTGGACACAGAAGATGGATGGTCGCGCCAACATTGCCTCCATGTCGAATGAGAAAATTAGGTCAATGAGTCTCGTCGGGTAAAACCAGGGTCTCTTGGGGATGGGAACAGATTTATAGTCCTTTGGACAGATGGACCTGGGAATAAAAACGAGAGCTCCCAATAACAATCCCTGATCAATAAGCGGTGGGCAAGCATAGATACTTCGTTCAACAAGGGAACGTCGCGAGCATCCAAGCTCTTACGTAAAGATCAAGCAGAATCGTTAAGGCGCACGTGGCCTTTATAAGGATACATGAAAACGACTGATGTTCTGGTGTGATATCAAGCAATATTGAGTTTCCCCAGTGCGCTCCGTTCTAACTCCCAAGTTTCAAATTCTGTTCAGATTGTTATAACCTACAACAAGTGGACTAAGTTTCACTTTTTCGGATTTCTAGGTTTTTACATTCTATTGACTTTCATGGTGAGATGGGGGCGAGATAGACCAAGTGGTTAGGGCACGAATTTACTGACCGGAAGGTCCGTGGTTCGAATCCGACCTCTGCCTCTCGATTTCCCCTGTCTAGGTTTGGGCGACCTGGCAGCATCCCAGCCCTCGTGCTTACTTCACGTGGCATGGCAGCTAGACACCGGAAGGGTGCTACAGCTTTCATGGTGACAATGCCACACTGGAAAGTTCTCCCCTGAAACGAGTGATCTGATTCATTAGGAAGGAGACATCGTCTACTGAGCATTGAATATCATCATTGAAACAACGCACTGTATCACACCATTCTACCCAGCTTAACACTAGTAACTACTCTACTTTCACTCCAGGAATTACTACCAGCACTGAAGTGGGTCCGTGGTGAGGCGTTGTCACAAGATCACTGGATCGAATTGTTCCGCTTGATCGGCTTGCCAAAATCCATTAGACTGGAACAGCTGAATTTTGGTGATTTGCTCAGTGTGAGTAAATCCATCGTGGCGCAGTCAGGGGCTTTGAAGACCCTAACTCAACGGGCTCAGGCGGAAGTTGTGGTACGTGAAGCATTGCAGGAACTGGACGTCTGGGGAGCTGGAGCCACATTTGTGTTAACCGAATACATTGATAGCTCTGGTCAGGTGTTATATTTGGTCAAAGATTGGAAGGACATTGTCAGCCAAGTATGTTTTTTTCTGAACTTTCTTGATAAAAATTTCTTTTGTGTTGTGTACCGTAAAGCAAATTTATTTTAAGCGATCCGTCAGCAAAGGTATTCATTCTTACAAGATACCTTAAAAGGTAAACATACAAATCAAATGCCAAGATAGTATTCACTGAAATTAAGCCCCAAAGGCTTTAATTATCACGGGGACGTATGCCCAAATCATCTGTTTTTCTGCGGTTAATTTGTCCTGCAACCAACAGCACGTTTCCTCGCACTTTTGGTTTGTCCCCACTATTCAGCACATCACTTGATTGTAGACAAGTGTAGTCGGGCACACGGTTCCTTCATTCCATCGTCAACCTGTTCGTTAACAGGAATGCACAACACGGGCAAATCCGGTCCTGGGCCGAGTGCAAGCCACATGTTCATCCTTATCCGGTTCGTATGGAACATATGTATGCATGACTTACTTACAGAAGCTATATAAGTAGACAGATAGAGGTACAAAGGTTCTCTAGTCCCTATCTGTGTGATGGAATACCAGTGTATTCTCATCACAAAATAGTAAACACTAGATGATTGCAAAGCGGAGACCCTAGAGAAAATTAGTGGAAGGTGCTTCAAATAAATGGTTAGTTTAATCAAAAGGTGACTGCGGTTTGTTACTTGTGTTTAGTTATACCCGGAGGACGATGGCAAATCGTGGACTACGCCTACCTAACTAACTTTACGAAAGGCGAAACGGGCATTTCGCTGCTGAAGGTCTGGCAGTGACTTTATGAGTAGTGTGTTCCTTCAGGGATTGTCGGCATGTCTGATAAATAAAGCCGAATGAAAAGTCTGAAAAATCATTAGTACAACGGGCGAACCGAATGGAAATTGAAATTTTTATCTAGATGAATATGATCGTTTTCTTGTGTACTGTCAAAGAAAGGAAAAGTAGCCAATAAGTGGGAAGTGGAGCATCCAGCGGAATCAGTCTTATCGGAAAGCGGTAGATGTCGAACGAAGGAAGACAAAGCAATGTAGCGCGAACAAGAGCAATCACAGCTGTGATTGTACTTACGATCATGTTGGAAAATGTCGGGGAATTAATATGATTGTCTTGTATATGTAGTAAGGAGACCATATAGGTCTTTTTCAGATAAGTACTTTTTCGACAACATTGCTCTGCAAACTCACTAGGGAAACATTTCGCTGCCATCTTTCAACTTCGCGTTGTGGCAAGGAATGCGGATATCCATCAAGAACAAACTATCAGCTAGAGGACACAGCTTCCAGGCATTCTAGAACTTGAGCAATATACAGAAATGTCGGTAGCTAGGGTGCGCTAACTGGTAGTTGATCTGTTGGCCGAGACATCCTTACTGCGCACTGACACTGCCTACACTACTGATGACGAAACGTCCGCGAGCAAATTACCGAGCTTGGGGGAACAGATCAACAGTTAGCTGATCTACGACCAATCAGCAATTGAAATTTCTACGTGCCTTGTCGTTCCAAACTAAGGTCGCTCCGTTGCTCCACGACAATGTTCCTTTGTTTGGTATTGTGAATTTACATACCACGAGCACCGCTACTTAGTGAGCACACCGAAACACTGCTTTTGATGTGAACAGTCGGTGTTGTAGTGACGTGCTGGAGGCCGTCAACTCCACTACCCTGTGCAGTGACTGCTTTCGGGGCTCTTTACGCTTACGAAGGCAACTTCTTGCCCGCCCCAATTTAAACAGATCAAGAACCCAACAGTGAGACCGAAACAAACAATTAAGCTGGTTTGCTAGGCTAATCTAGAAAATATGAACAAGCATGTGAACTAACGTCCGGTCACAGTGACCCTCACCCCGAACACCCCAACTATAAAAGCAATGGAACATCCTTTTAAAGTACTGATATTACATGCGGCTTGATACTAAATACAATTTGTCTATTCAAGGTGATCTGTATAACCAGTTCATTTACCATCCAATCCCTCCTTTTTTTAGGTGGGTGACAATATGGCCCTTCTGGCATCACTTCAAGATTCACCATATTTTGACAGCTTTGCAGACCGTGCCAACGCTTGGGCGCAACGTCTAGCAGACTTGGACCACAGTCTGAATGGTCTACAGGCAGTACAGCGAAGATGGGTATATTTAGAGCCCATCATAGGCAGAGGAGCTCTACCAAAGGAGGCTGCCCGATTCTTGCAGGTCGATGCGGAGTTTCGGAGACTCCTCATGGCCATAAAGGCAGATAACAGAGTGGTCAGTCTGGTGTCTGGACATCGTGCAAATGCGTTGAAAGAGCAACTCACAAATATGCAGGTAATCTTTTGTTCGCTTGGGTACATAGTTCCGAATACGCAGCGACTTTCGTGAACAGACGACAGAAGGAGAACTACGAGCGCATGCTTCTGGCAAAAGGCTGATTTAAGGATTAGTTGTAGGCGGTTGACGGACTTGTAGAATTCGTGCTCACATCATTCTCCTTTGAACAGTCGCCCTGCTGTTCTGGTGCAGTTATTCTGATGAGTCCACACCTAAAGGGGGAAGCACCAGACTTGAGCTTCATTCTTAAGAGCTCATCAACGGTGCATAATTTTGGCTCTACCTGACTGGGAACTCCTGATAGGCGGGTCAATCGATCGACACAACCAGGACAGTTACTGAATCGTAGTTTACATTGTGTCGGGCAACTCAGTCACATCGCTCAATTGCTAACTTGTTGGCCTGTTCATACCTGGTAATTTAGATCTCACCAGGCAGGCAATCTTCAACTAAAGAAAGGTAATCGAACCAGCGATCCGGATTAAATTTGTCATTCAGATCTGATATCCACACGAAGGCAATGATGATTGGACAAAGGTCACCATTCCTTATGTTCACCAGTGTACGATCGCTTTCAAATATGTATATACATCAGAAACAGGTTCGAAATTCCCACCTAAGTTACTATCTTTACGAATTTCGTGAAGCGTAATAGCATGAGCGTGCCTCGCTTGTGATACTTTACTCTTGGAAAGTGGATGGTAGTTTAAGTAGCACACCTTAGATTACTACAAATAAAAAGAAAGGATAATCATTCAGTTGTAACACCCTTTTGGTGCCCAGCTGCCATACCACCGAAGGAAACAATACATCAGAAACAGGTTCGAAATTCCCACCTAAGTTACTATCTTTACGAATTTCGTGAAGCGTAATAGCATGAGCGTGCCTCGCTTGTGATACTTTACTCTTGGAAAGTGGATGGTAGTTTAAGTAGCACACCTTAGATTACTACAAATAAAAAGAAAGGATAATCATTCAGTTGTAACACCCTTTTGGTGCCCAGCTGCCATACCACCTGAAGGAAACATTAGGGCTGAACACTGGTGTTATCGTTGACGGTGACGAAGACGATTTCAACTCAAACTTATTTCTACAGTGGTGAAGTGACAGACGTATCGTTGCTTCCTTTTCCACTTGGGAATAGTGAGAGGAGTCTGCCTTCGATGACTTGAAGCGTTCATCAAATCGATGGTCTTAGAGTATCTAGTTGAAACGAAACGGCATAGGTACAACTTTTCGAGCTAGGAGCTGACAGCCAGCTTGAAGGTGCGTCCCTTTGTGGGTTGAACCTATATTGTCTTAGGTCACCATTTGATACACCCAATCCCCTGTAAACAATAAACCTCATCACTCTTCAGTTCACGATCATTTTTCTTACGTTTTGATCCACATGTAGACATGCGTAAGCTGGTGGCATCTGAGCCTTCGTGCTTGCAACGGCCTGAATGACGAGTATGCATCAATAAACCCATATCTTAAAGTTTCCAACGAATTATTCTCCAAAGCCACAGAACAAACTGTATGCGAATGTCATAATGGCTTCGGTTTCAAAGTGTTTTGTCCCTAACCATGCTATGCTAACTGACCGTGGATACTGAACGACTCCTGTGAGTGTCGATGCTAGACCACTCAGGTGATTACACTAGTGAACTCTGAGGTGAGAGAAGACTTTTACTGCGGAGCCATTTTTTAGGAACTGCCAACTGAACAGTTACAGATTATTGGACAAGGAAGCAAAACTCTCAGATGCATCTTGTTTACAAAAACTGAATATCCATGCTCTCTTTGAACGCGTCTTCCTGAACTTTCCTGGATATTCATTGACTGTTCTCAAGTCCAAGCAAATGCTACAAAGCGGCTCCACAGACTCCGCAATAGAGCTCAGTTTTCAAGAGACACAAAGCGGATTTACAAGAAAACGGACTACTCGCATGCCTCCCCCATCAGTAGTATCACCGTTACACTGATACATGTACCCGAAACCGACGAATTCCGAGTGCAAACCTGCTCTGAATAGTGCTAACCAAGCGCACCGCGTGCTGCGTACTTGCTCACCAAAGTATCTGAGTGCAAGGGAACCTTTTTTCCAAATACCTTGAGTCTGTACACTCGAAATAGTTTAGAAGGATATGGATCGAGACGGTGTTTCTTACAGGGTTAAAAAGGTTTTTTCCCCAGGACAACTTTTTTTTAACTTTTTTCTGTTCATTTAGTAGACATGGTGATAAAAAATTAATTTCATTATTCTTAACCAAGCTCCCTACTTCAATTTCCTAATTTGTAGGATCAGCTGGCCCGTTGCCAGCGGGCTCTCAATGAGTACTTGGAGGAAAAGCGAAGCGTGTTTCCTCGCTTCTACTTCCTCGGTGATGATGACTTGTTGGAAATCCTCGGACAGGCTACTAATCCGTCGGTTGTGCAAACCCATCTTCGTAAGCTTTTCCAGGGTATACATCATGTTCTGTTCGAAGTGGACGGAGACAATCGTAGTAACGGAGCCCAAGTGAAGAAGTTGAAAGCTATGTGTTCTTTGGACGGAGAAGTCGTGTGCCTGCAAAGACCAATTCAGCTTACACCAGAAGTAGAACTTTGGCTTGGCCGATTGGCAACCGGAATGCAAGCCACTCTGAATGAACTTCTCGCACAGTGCTTGGATGCTGGTTCAATCGAAAATAGGCGAAAACATTCGTTGGATCCCAATGCCTATCCGGGTCAGATTTTAACACTAGCTGAAGCTATAAACTTTTCAAGGAATGTGGAAGAAGCACTGAGTTGTGGACGGCTAAGTGTATTGAAAAAAGATCTCCAGGTAAGACACTAGTGTGGTACCAGAGCATTCACACCTGACTTTCACCTTGTATGCTATCATCGGTAGTTTGATGATCTCTACCTACCTTCTACCGTCGCCTCCCCACCCAATCTGCTTACCCAGGGCACGACAAATGCGAAGAATCGACTTCAAGACTGCTTCAGAGTTTGTGTTGAATTATTAACTTTTTGATTCTGTCAGTTTTCGATATATGCAATTTTGCCAAAATTGGGTCGTGAAACATAGTGTTGCATGTGTTTCAGCGCTTCTGACACCAGATGGCAAACCAAACAATCGATTTTTTCCCATCGAAAGCATTTCGATGTAATTAGCTCATCAGTATTTATTCTCAGCGTCCAGCCTCCTTTTATTGGTCTGAATAATTTCTTTTTTGCAATGCAGGCTCAACTGGCTGCGTACACATCCGTGGATCTGAATGCACTGAGGTCCACCGGTGCTTCTGCTGACAACTCACTAGACGACAACACAGTGACACAAACTGGTAACCTTGTGATGGCTGCGAAACTCAGTACCCTTATCCTGGACACTATTCACATGATCGATGTCGCTGATCAACTCATTCAAGCCGGGGCAGCTACCACACGTGACTGGGCTTGGCAACGTCAACTTCGTTTTTATGGGGGCCCTTCTGGTAAATCGTCAAGCGTCTCCGCCCCTCGAGTTTGCATGGTGGATGCCGAATTTGTGTATACTTTCGAGTATCAAGGTAACGCCCGACGACTTGTTCATACTCCTCTGACGGACAAATGCTATCTGACCTTGACTCAGGCTATGCGGATGGGGCTTGGAGGCAATCCATACGGCCCAGCTGGAACCGGAAAAACGGAATCTGTCAAAGCACTTGGCGGACTAATGGGACGTCAGGTAAGGACTGAGAAAGCGACTGGTAATCCCGTAATTCCTGTCGTACCGACAGTTTAAGGAGTGCGCATGATCTCGTTTGCGAAAAAGTTCGAGTCTTCAAGTGACACGTGAACCTCTGTCATGAGTAAAAACTTGCCCGCCTCACCTTTTGTTACACTGACCGACCGTGTTTTTCGTAACAAACAACCATCTCGTGCTCTTCAATCAATTGAAAAACGTTTGGAACCGATTGAGAAGTCATCGTTTCAGAACAGCTTGGTAAACAGTCGGTAGTTTTTATTTGGGCAACGTTTTGCTTTGACACAAAATCTTCATCAGGAAAAGTGAGCAAGTCACCAAATTGGCCAGGTTATAAGACAGACGGGGAACCAATCAGTAAGTCCTCCTCAGATTGTCACACTAGGTCAGTGTGAGTGCCAATTTTAACGGCTCTTGTCAGTTAGTGCGGTTGTCAAAATCTTGTGTTGATGGATTGGGGGAGTTTCGAATTAATTCTCATCGGGTTTGTTTCCTTAATCTTCCACTTCACTGCGCTTCAATGGATGATTTACCGCGGTTACCGCTGATAGATTTCCTTGGTCGTTGTGGGGTTGTGAGTGCTGTGACAATTTAGTTGGGAGAAGGCGGAGGTCAAGTGGAATTCGGATGATGACTACTCCTCCTTCTGATGACCGCACACCAACACGGGTCAGCTCGACTGATCCAAAACCGTTCTCCACATGCTTGCCAGTTCCACGCCTTCTATTCTGTTAACACTGGGATGCCTGGAAATTTCCACCGCCTCGGCTATTAGTCTCTGACGTTGATCGTGGTCCTCGCCTTAAAACCTCAACATTTTCTAAATCTATTTTGTGTCCAGTGTCCAATGCATGCTCCGCAATTGCCGAGTCTTTCAGTAACGCTTGATATTCGTCCGCCTTTCTCGACGACCTGTTTATTTTTTTCCCTTATGCTCTCCGATTCTGATGTGAAGTTCCCTGACTGTCTGTCCTATATAGATCTTAATGCAGTCGTTACACTTGGTTTTGTAGACACAGTCCCTAGTTCTGTTTGGCGGGAGGCGATCCTTCAAATGCACCAGTGCAGAGCGCAGAGTGGCTCACCATAATTTACTAGTAGACTTAATACGTCAAAGTCTAATTGACGCCTCCACTCAATTAGAAGTCGGCGGAAAGCCAACAATTACGCCGAACAGTTGCTCCATAACGCTGTCACCACACGGTTCTTCTCGTTACCACGACTTACTCCGCAAATTTCCGGAGCTCCTAAGGTCCAATTATCATCAGGTGGAACCGACACACCGTGGTTCATCCCATTGACACACGTGGAAATCCCATTTACACACGTCTACTATGATTTCATCCGGAAAGACTAAAAACCGTTTGGAAGAGTAACTAAACGGAAGGGTAACCGTTAGACACTAATATCAGCGCCCGTGTTGACTAGAACACGGAGCCCGGAGTTCCTACCTAAAAGAAGGAGACGGTGAGTGTTGTAATCTTGGTCTGGGACACTACTCGCTTCTAGTGTCCGGCCTGTTGGTTTCCCCGTTGAGATTTAACTGTGGGTGGTGACACCCAAAGGTGCAGTGCATTTCGGAGCAGATCGGTCGAATTGGATATGGCACCAACAGTCACCTGAAGAACGATATACGGAAGTAGGGCAGTGGCTCCCCTGCTGATTCGGAGACGTAAACCGATGACGTGAGGTACGATCGAAAGTAACAGCCGCTATTTGGTTAGCCGGTTCGTCAATTCGGGTGTGAAGGGAGGAAACAGCAGTAGACGTGTAAAGAGAATTACAGTTAGTTGAGCAATGTCGAATTCCTAGGATCCTGTCCGCAATGTTGCCGAGTTGCGTCAATGGGAGTTTGTCGGTATCTGGATGGGTCTTACGTGTGTTCGCAAAGGTTTAGGGAACAGTTGCTTGAATATATCGGTCACACGGTATGCTATAAAGGCGTCGCAACAGTTGAGATGGAGTAGATCCATCGAACGATTCTCCGCTAAGCAGTTTTTCCACTAGTTTATGTTTGACTAAACTACAGCGTTTAATGATGGCGGTACGTAATTGAGTATACGGTTTGGCGCCGTCATGGTCCATTAAGATGTCGCGTAAATCGGTCGCGATTTCGGGAGGTAGTGGTGCAGGCACATGGTAATGCATAGTACGCTTTTGCGCGATTCCGCGAAGGACAAACTGAGTTGGAACCTGCGTGAACCAGATGCGTAGGTTGTGGTGCCAGAATGGTGGAAGATGGGCAGAGGCGACGTCGGTGCCAGAATGGTGGAAGATGGACAGAGGCGACGTTGATGTTGGGTGTTGGTGTGATTGAAGGTGAGTGAATATTTTGTGCTGGAGGAACTGACGTGGTGTAAGTATTACAAATGTTCACCAATTTATTAGTGAACAGGTTGTGATAGCCATCATACAATTCACTAATAACAGTCTTTACTGTGGTTGATAGTAGTTTACAGTAGTGAGTTTCACCATGCATGAAATAAATGCAATATGAAATATGGCGAAAAAAGGCGAACTTATCAGTTGTGAGAGTTCCTTGGTGAAAGTCCGGACGGCAGGAACGTGTTTTCTCCGCAGTATAGCTGCTACACGTGTTCCGTGTCCGTGGACTTGAAGTGTTTGGCTGACCCGTTGCGCGTGAGTGTGTGTGTGTGTGTTGACTGTGTTGTGTGCTTTTTGGTTGGCCCTGTTCTGTCCCTGTATATATCGAGCGTGAAATCACATTGCACTCTTAACGAGTTCAAGGAACCTGTTGCTGACCAAAGGTCGTACTCATTGTCACGATGTTGACTCGTGATTGTGAGGCGGACAAAACAAACTGGGGATCGTAGATGCAGGTGCGAAATAGCTTGGAGGAGTAATTAAACGGAAGGGCAACTGTTACACGCTCACAAATCTGCTTTCCGGACCGTGTGGTTACTGATGCCGATCTTCGCGACGCGTCGTTCTCTGCACATGTACGTTTAGGCCTGGACGCATCCTAACACGCTCCAGTATTTTTTCATCCGTAGACAGTTGCCTACATCCCAAAAGCAGCTGAGTTTTCGTTGCACCCGCTGTATACTAATTTGGGTTGGTTGGATCGACTCATACTCCATTCCTATGCATACTTTTATAGTTGACTGACTACTGCTGAAAAGTGAGCAACACAATTCCGTTGGTCAATCCTACTCGTTGTCATCTTTTGCATGAGCTGTTATCATCAAGTTTGCACGCTTGTTTTCCCTCCTTTTGTGTCCACTGACCAGATATTTTTGTTCGAATGCTGTGCTCACACGACAGTCAGTATAGTATTACAGAACCTAATGAATTAGATGAGGCGTGGTCAGTTAGTGTGCGACACCATCCTTCGTGAAGTCACGTCACTCAGCCCGCTGTGTCCATAAATAATCAAGTAGAAGAATTTCAAGCAGAACGTAAGGTGGATCAACGGAAAGCCCGCTGTGTCCATAAATAATCAAGTAGGAGAATTTCAAGCAGAACGGATATTCGGTGACTTGGCCTACTGGATGGACCCCTAAAAGGGCAAAACTGGTCCTAAGCTGTCGAAGAGTTTTCGACAAACATAAAAGTGGTTTCTTTCAGAAAAATGGCAATGTTAAAAATATGTTGTTAATGTATGTTGTGTCCGACTATCTGAATTCAAGTCTTTGAATTCAAGTCTCTGAATGCCTGACATCGAGTGTTTTATTTCAGGTTTTGGTTTTCAACTGTGATGAGGGCATAGACGTGCGATCAATGGGACGCATTTTGGTCGGAATCGTCAAGTGTGGGGCGTGGGGTTGTTTCGATGAATTCAATCGCCTAGAAGAGGCCGTACTTTCAGCTGTCTCCATGCAAATCCAAGTAAGTCACCTGATCAAGCATCCAATCAGGTTGCGTAGAGCGCCTTCAGAATAAAGTGGACCGAGTCAGTACCAGTCAATTCTAATCGATAGGTATTGTTGTTTTACGTATCATTCGTATTTGTTGGCCATCAGTGTTCTGATGTACCCAGTGTGCTTGCAGGCCAACTAACCTGATCGCCGAATACATGAGTTTTTTTTTCAATATATCTTCATCTAGTAGGATTACATTCAGGTATTTCAGGAATTGTCGGCACTTAACTGTATTCCTTTACATCCACATCCATTAGTAATCAAATTACTTCAACTTTTAAGGGACGTGGCGATAAATTCTGTGTCGAGTACAGTTCATTTTACTGGCATGTGTCCAGCACACCATATTTTCTCTGGAAATGGCTATGGTCATTTTAGGAGGATGGGTTTGCGGAACGTTGTTCAGATAAGTCCCATTAAATTGCTTCTGCTTACAGAGGGTTTGTTAGAAAAGAACAACCGGTTTGTTACCCCTGTTCAGCGCACATTCCCTGTCCCTATTTCCTTATAACAGGTTATCCAAGATGGTCTCCGATCGTCGTCTTCTCACATCACCCTACTGAATAGGAGCATAAGCCTGGATCCCAATTCGGGTCTGTTTATCACTCTGAATCCGGCCGGTAAAGGCTACGGCGGACGGCAAAAGCTACCGGACAATCTTAAACAGCTGTTCCGTCCCGTGGCCATGTCACAACCCGATGTGGATCTAATTGCCGAAATGATCCTATTCTCAGAAGGATTCCGCCATGCTCGGTTATTGGGTCGTAAACTGGTCTCCGTTTTCGCCTTAGCTAGGTTGGTTCAGTATTTTCACGGCTTTCTTTTTCAAGCCCAGTCTGATTTTTTGCATTGGTATCTCAGAAGTTATTGTTTAGAGCGAATCACAGACCTAGGGAGTTTTTACCTGCGCTCTTTCAGGGGCTACATAGGCATTGATGATTCCCGAATCGAACCTTTTTACTTTTCAATTGTGATTTCGTTCTTTGAGTAACCCTGATATATGCTGAAAAGTCCAGAAGCATTGTATAGGTGTTTCATCCTTATTTGAAAACATCAGCACTTCACATCTCACGAAACTCAAGAGGTTTAGAACCCGCAACCCCTCGGCTGATGGTTGAAGCCATTCGACCACGAGTGGCTGATCAGTACTGTGATTAGCTCAGACGGAATACAGCGTCACCTGCCCTTCAGTGACGGAACCCGCATCAAATGGTCGCATGTTAACTCACTCGTCGTGAAGTTAATTCTCAGACAGAAGATCCTGCGCTACTTGAAATTTCTCTATCTACCTGTGAAATCTTAGGAGCCGAAATGCTTACGGGGCATTCATTGACAGAAATTGAATATATGGACGATATTGGTTCATATCCTTCAGAAATGCAAACCATTTTAGATAACCTGCTTCAAAGTGTGGTATGTACTTCACACATGCAAAGTGTAAAGTGCTACTGAGGGGGATGGGTTTGTGGAACGTTGTTCAGATAAGTCCCATTAAGTTGCTTCTGATTACAGAGGGTTTGTTAGACTGGTTTGTTACCCCTGTTCAGCGCACATTCCGGCGAAGCAATAGACGTGGTAGATACATTTGTTTACCTGGGCAGTTTTATGACTTTCGGTAAAGACAAGATTAATTAACCAGTCGGGTTTTGCCAACCTCCGACACCTATAGCGCCGACGCGACTGTCTACTAAGTTCTGAGTATCCAGTTTACGGGTGCGATCCATAATACGTATGGATCAGAACTGCGGTCTTTACACGCAGAAGCTTTACAAAGGCTGACATTCTAGGCCCATCGGTGTCTTCGAAGGAATGGCCAGGTATGGTAGGATGATGAGGTAAACCAGATGGTCACAGGAAGAAGGAACTTTTCCACGATGAATGAGCTACTCAAGCTTCATAAGTCACACCTGTGAGAATAGGTAATTCGAATGCCACAGAACATCTGCCTCGTAGAGCTTTTTTTTCCCCAGCCTTTTGCTAGATGGAAGCAAACAAGAGGTAGGCGGTGTAAGACCTGGTAACGAAGTATGAAAACACTAACCAGTAAACTGAATCGGATCGAAAAGTGCTACCTCCCTGGATAGGGACCCCCCATGGTTAATGACACTGGCAGACATGCCCCAACCACAGTCAGTGGAACTGCTGCATCACAGCTATCACCTTCAATGTGTAACTTCCTAGTTTTCCGAACTAAATAATTATGCCATCGCCATCAGTGTTTGGCTAGATCTCCCCTGCTTTCCCATTTTCTGAGACCGAAACTGTAGCAGCTGGAATTAACTTAACTTGGCACATGGTTTGTAGCTGATAAACTGAACATAACTGAGATGGAAGGTTCACTTATCGTGTGAATTATTCCTCATTCTGGTTACTTATTGGGATCTTTTCCAGATAAGCCCGGCCACCCAAAACAGATTAGAAAAAAGAGGATATGAATTTTGTACTTTTAGTTTTTATTGAAGAGGGTGAAATCGGGACATGTCATTAATAATTTGCATGAAAAGGTCCGCTTTTCGGTACCTTTGCCTCAAAACGAACTCACACAAGTAGCTGTCCACTAGAGGTCGGTATGTGCCGCACTGGCATTTATTCTGCATCTTGTAGACATGCCAAAGAGATTCGATGGCTTGTGTGTGAACTCCAGTCCACAAATTTTCCAGTATGATTAACCGTTTCATGAGTGAATAGTCAACAGCGGTCGTGTGGCTAATAGATAATTCCTCTGAGCAGAATTTGTTTTTGTCAAATTTTGGACCAGCAATAAATGAATAGGAATACTGTCCTAAACTCCATCCTAGACCGTTCCATCCAAGTTCTCTATCGAAGACCGATGTCTTGCCGACACTGTTGGGCATTACATCCCCACCTGTCAGAAACAGTTGAAAGTGTCATTTGGTAGCCATTGCTGCATAAACGTTGCTGATGGGTCACTCCGTGGCTTTGCAAAAAACCTATTGCCGTCTCCTCGTCATGAACGAGAGGTGAAAGCGTCAGAGAGTTCATTAAAGGTTTTAGGTACGACCGGAGAAAATTTTTTGGACAAAATGAGCCCAGGTGTGGATAGGGAATTGTTTTCATCCAAAATAAGTCAAGGTTGTGTGCGTATATTTAATTGGAGCTGGAAAAAAGTGACGTGGCTTAAATTTCCGCACATGCACTTTCTGCATTAGTAGTGGGACTTATCTGGAAAAGATCCACTTGTTGCTCGTGTGAGGACATTCTGGAGTATTCAGCCGATCTTTCTTCCCGTAACTGGGGAAGCAGTTTCGCTGACAAGCTACTGTACTCTGAAAAGAAGCGCCTTTAATCTACTCAGACGTGACGTTTATTCAATACGGTACGGATGTGGTTGGAATGAACCAGACTGGCCTTGAATCTGGCCTCTAACGGCCAAGATTGTAACCACTCACTTGGTAATGAAGTATCTAAATTTTTAAAGCAACCCTTCCAGACGGTCATCCCTTGTATAGTTCCGGTGCATCATTACTGAATTTAAGCTCAGTTTATCAGTTACAAACCACACACCAGTTCTACTTTGCTTCCGGTCAGTTTATCACTTTTTATTCTAAAGATGTATGCAGGATGCTCTACGATGAACCTCGAGGCTAAGCGAACCACCCAAACCCAATCTGTTGCTTTTCATTTCTCCATCAAAGTTACAGTAGAATGTGTAAGATAATTAAATCGGAATCTAGGCACTTAGTTGACAGTTCGATCGCACAAACCCTAGTTGTTTCTCCCTGAACTTGATACTGGTCACAAGAAAAGTCAAAAATGACCAACCAGGAAATCCTAAGCTGTGGTTTGAATGGTCTGGAACTCAGTGTATCACCTGCTTTGGCGACAATCCAAAAAAATTCAACTCGAGTAATGTTAAACTCTAGTAAGAACTTTTGAACTGTATTGGTTACGTAACCAAAACCAGTGTGTTAGTCCGTCTTAGGCTATCATACTTTAGTACCCTATTCCACAGTGCAACAGGTCAAGCTAGTAAACTCATCAGGCCTTTGATCTGTCGGTAGAAATGACAGTTGTAGGGTACATTCCCGCTAACCTAAACGACCCCCTTTGCGGAAGTTTACATTACAAAAACTTCCTAAGACTATGAGCGCGAAGCCATACCTGATTGCCAATTATCAGGTCAGTAAGTTTTCAGGTATCTGTGAGATGCTAACCTAATAAGCAGTCTTTAGGTAGCAATATCAAACTGCTTTTGAGGGTTTGGCAGCCAGTTCAAACCTACCCACAAGGATAAAACGAGATCGAATTCATGTCACTCGATCGAGAATTGCGATGGTACACGGACCTAGTGTTCTTCGACTCACTACATATCGGGTGCACGCAAACACGACTTCCATTATATCGGAAGCTGCAGTATGGCTAATCCCATGCAGTTGGGCGCCCAGTATGATCCCACTAGGCTATCGACTAACGATCCATTATATTCCTCAGCTGCCGCGGCCACTGAATAATTTCCTTCTCGGGAAGGACATAAATCAGGTTTTTCTATAAGCGTTCTTAGATAAGCCGAGTTGACACATGATTGTGTGTGGTTGTAAATTCATGTAGAATCATTAGCGAAAACAGGGGAGATGGAAATCCCAACTCGACCAAAGATCACAGAATCCCTCTTATACAACTATCGTAACACTAGTTCATCCACACAGACAGACGGAAAGCGGAAACGACTTTCAAGAGGGATCATCACGTGAACCCAAACAGAAGAAATAGGCCCTAGGCTGGACCCAAATCCATACAGGTTTCCCCATCGGTCTAACACTTGGTCACCCACCCTAACACACAAAATCCCCCGGCCGAAACCTAACAGAGATTTAGCTTGAATTAGCTGATTGCTCATCCTTCCGCCCCAAATCTCGATGAACCTCGTAACCTAGTCACTTAACCTGACGAAGCTTTTACACAAAATCGGCCGAAACCTAACAGAGATTTAGCTTGAATTAGCTGATTGCTCATCCTTCCGCCCCAAATCTCGATGAACCTCGTAACCAACCTACTTAACCTGACGAAGCTTTTGTGTCTAAAGCCAAACGTTGCTCAACAACAAATCTGCCGATCCTTACCAAACTTTTCCAAAAACGATCAGTTTTTTAATATTCTCTGTATCGCTTGTCCTATTCTACAGGCAACTTTTATCTGTTCAGCAACACTACGATTGGGGTCTAAGAGCACTGAAGACGGTGCTACACAGTGCAGGATGCTTGCTTCACGCGCATCAATCTAATCATCCACATGCAGATCCAACTACTAGAGGTTGTGCAACTGAGAGCAGAATGGTGATCAGGGCAGCCCGTACGAATACTTTGGCGAAACTGACTTGCGCAGACGTAGGACGTTTCGAGGCTTTGCTCCGTGACGTATTTCCCGAACCAGAGTTACACGTCTCGACCCAATCTGTTGCTTTTCATTTCTCCATCAAAGTTACAGTAGAATGTGTAAGATAATTAAATCGGAATCTAGGCACTTAGTTGACAGTTCGATCGCACAAACCCTAGTTGTTTCTCCCTGAACTTGATACTGGTCACAAGAAAAGTCAAAAATGACCAACCAGGAAATCCTAAGCTGTGGTTTGAATGGTCTGGAACTCAGTGTATCACCTGCTTTGGCGACAATCCAAAAAAATTCAACTCGAGTAATGTTAAACTCTAGTAAGAACTTTTGAACTGTATTGGTTACGTAACCAAAACCAGTGTGTTAGTCCGTCTTAGGCTATCATACTTTAGTACCCTATTCCACAGTGCAACAGGTCAAGCTAGTAAACTCATCAGGCCTTTGATCTGTCGGTAGAAATGACAGTTGTAGGGTACATTCCCGCTAACCTAAACGACCCCCTTTGCGGAAGTTTACATTACAAAAACTTCCTAAGACTATGAGCGCGAAGCCATACCTGATTGCCAATTATCAGGTCAGTAAGTTTTCAGGTATCTGTGAGATGCTAACCTAATAAGCAGTCTTTAGGTAGCAATATCAAACTGCTTTTGAGGGTTTGGCAGCCAGTTCAAACCTACCCACAAGGATAAAACGAGATCGAATTCATGTCACTCGATCGAGAATTGCGATGGTACACGGACCTAGTGTTCTTCGACTCACTACATATCGGGTGCACGCAAACACGACTTCCATTATATCGGAAGCTGCAGTATGGCTAATCCCATGCAGTTGGGCGCCCAGTATGATCCCACTAGGCTATCGACTAACGATCCATTATATTCCTCAGCTGCCGCGGCCACTGAATAATTTCCTTCTCGGGAAGGACATAAATCAGGTTTTTCTATAAGCGTTCTTAGATAAGCCGAGTTGACACATGATTGTGTGTGGTTGTAAATTCATGTAGAATCATTAGCGAAAACAGGGGAGATGGAAATCCCAACTCGACCAAAGATCACAGAATCCCTCTTATACAACTATCGTAACACTAGTTCATCCACACAGACAGACGGAAAGCGGAAACGACTTTCAAGAGGGATCATCACGTGAACCCAAACAGAAGAAATAGGCCCTAGGCTGGACGCAAATCCATACAGGTTTCCCCATCGGTCTAACACTTGGTCACCCACCCTAACACACAAAATCCCCCGGCCGAAACCTAACAGAGATTTAGCTTGAATTAGCTGATTGCTCATCCTTCCGCCCCAAATCTCGATGAACCTCGTAACCTAGTCACTTAACCTGACGAAGCTTTTGTGTCTAAAGCGAAACGTTGCTCAACAACAAATCTGCCGATCCTTACCAAACTTTTCCAAAAACGATCAGTTTTTTAATATTCTCTGTATCGCTTGTCCTATTCTACAGGCAACTTTTATCTGTTCAGCAACACTACGATTGGGGTCTAAGAGCACTGAAGACGGTGCTACACAGTGCAGGATGCTTGCTTCACGCGCATCAATCTAATCATCCACATGCAGATCCAACTACTAGAGGTTGTGCAACTGAGAGCAGAATGGTGATCAGGGCAGCCCGTACGAATACTTTGGCGAAACTGACTTGCGCAGACGTAGGACGTTTCGAGGCTTTGCTCCGTGACGTATTTCCCGAACCAGAGTTACACGTCTCGTCCTCAGAAGACCCAGAGCTGACAACACTTACCGAAGCCCTTCATGCAGTTGTCGAAGAAAATCGCATGGTATTGGTGGAACCACAGGTAAGTCATATTTTTCAATCGGGTTAGTAAAAAGTAGTGTGCTTTGAAACGAAACAAATTTTAGTAACCTTGTAAACTGTAAATCGTCCTTGAGTTTTATAACGGCAACAACAGCTACTTCTCTGGATGCTCCACATTACCAAGAAAGCTTGAAAAGCTTCTGTCTATAACCTGCAGCTTTTCTATTTATGGTTTGCTTTGCACACTGAGTGGTCGGTGGCGCATTAAAGGCACCTGTATAGCACAGTACCCTAATCTGTTGAAAAAATGAATTTCCCCAGGAATGGGGATTTTTGTGAACTGGCAGGTTGAAGTTTCTGTCCCCAAATGAATGAGATCGATTATTACCTACTGACTTTCCACTAATCGCGCACTAAATCCTGATCATTCATTCAGAGATTAAGAATCTAACATGTTGGGTGAACTGCATAGGATTGCGAGCACTTCAGAAAATAATCTGTAATTACGAAGTTCGGCTGCTTACCATATGTCGACCATAGAAGTGATCACACCCAGCGTTTGCTCAATTTTCGTTTCATTTTTTCTTTGCAGATTCAAAAGGCCCTGGAAGTTTATGAACAGACAAAACAACGTATGGGCGTTGTTTTAGTTGGTCCTTCCGGTTGTGGAAAGTCCACCATACTGCGTCTGTTACGCATGGCGTTGGCAAAAGTTGGACGTCCCTTGCGTTACCATGTTTTCAATCCAAAAGCAATGCTGCGGGTGCAGCTTCTGGGTCGTATTGATCCGGATACTCGGGAATGGACCGATGGTGTTCTGACCTATAGCGCTCGATGCGTTGTGAAAGAGGACAGTTGTAAGTGCGAATTCAATTTTAAAAAATACCACGTAGGCTACAGAACAGTAGCGAACAGACTTACATACCAACCTGTACCACGGCTATGGTAGCCTTTCAAACTGGGAAGCCCCTACCCCCAGGATCCGAATTCTTTCTGAGGCGGACTTAGTCTCTTGTTCTCAAAACGTTCACTACAAGAAGCATATGGGCATCACCAGGGAGCATCCACTTTCTCGGAGTAAAAAATTGAATGCCTCGGTTGGTTCACAGTTGTGCGTATTGGTACCGTTTACTTAAGTGTTTCCCTATACAAACCTCTTGATAAGATTGTGCAACTCAGCGTACTTAGGAGAAATCTGTTTTCACTCCTGAGCCTTCGTAACCCAGGCGTTCAGCAATAGGGATGCATCCTTTCATGATTTTCAATAATGTGTCAATCCAGTGCATTATCTGGTTTCTCTTATTCACTGGCACGCCGATGACCATACACAAAATCACGGCTTCAGTCACAGTATTAAGAATGTGATTCGGTGTACCTGTCTTTCCCCCCATGAACTCTATGGACACAGTCCATTCACCACCCCATGCGATTTTTTCTTTACCTCAACTCGTCCCTTCACTCCCTAACCTCCGAACCCAGTTTACTTTACCCAACCCAAAACAATCCACCAATGGTATGAAAGCATCTGCTAGTCAACTGGCCATGTAATTTGCCTTGCCTACCAATCGCAGGCCTAGTTATCTCTGGAGTGTGAAGAAAAATCTCAAACCGTCTTTTACTGGAAACACGGTCGGAACGGTTGAACGGTAGAAGCATCGAGGAGATAGGCCTCATGTGCGCGCGTATGGTTACATCAACAGGGGAAGGGTGGACAATGAGTTTCTGCATCCGACAGGATCATGGCAGTCCAGCAAGAGTTCGATTCATGCAGTTCAAAAATAAGCAGATCAACAGGAGGACTACGAGCACCGCTCGTACAATGGTGCTGTGCGTTCAATCCAGATAATGGTCGGACCTGAAATAGGTCATCAAAGACATCGATTGAAACCTTTGCACATCAGACTGAAATTCCACAGCGAGCTTGTGGAGCGAATGTCCTGTTGACGATTTCAGATTTTGCGTGCTTAGTTGTTCATACCTCCATAGCCCTTCATTGCGCGTAAAGACTCATTGATATATTCCCAGTTATTCTTGATCTCATATATTCCAGATGAAATAGCGAGTAATATTGATGGGGTGATTGATGGCGACCCAGCTAGTCTGCTGCACACCAACCTGGAGGAAGCCGTCCGTTTAAAAGGCCTGCACTTAATCCAACCCCAGAAATCTGTTTCAGGCTAATATCCATCGAGCAAAGTGCAACAGTCTACGTGGGCATCCTGGTGACCTTGAACACAGACAACAGTCGGTTAACCGGGCTCCGGCCTGTACACTGCGGTGTCCAAACTAATGAGGGCACATCAGTTCCACTTCCCGTCAATTCATGCCATAAACATGCATCCGCAACGGTCGTTCTCACACCAAAACTCGTTCCGGTGGGTGTGCTGACGACACCTGCGGTCACCATTCGACGAAATCACGTGCTGACCCCGTTGCAAGCGCATGTGATTCCTATGCGTGCACTGCGATAGGCATATTCCATGCACTGCATGAGCTGGGTTAGGTTTGCTCATGACCTGGGAGTACACTCATGGTGATGATGAACTCCATGATCAATAATATGTGACCGAGATAGTTCCGTAATTTACCCACCGCACGAGCATTTTCGGAGTTTTTTTTTTTTGGGGGGGGGGGATTCGGAGTTTTTTTTTTGGGGGGGGGGCAGAAAGTGACCGAAAATATCACGGAAAATGCCACATACCCGTTTTGGCTCTGAGCTGGTTTTCGCTACTGTCCAAGGCAAGGTTAACCCAATTCATAATTTACCTAGTTCAAGTGCACTGAGTGATGACTATCATCCAACTCTCGTGATCACACCAATCATAACTTTTCTCGAGATCCGTTACGTTTCCTTTGCCGAGCCATCACTCAGAATTTGTTAGCCTACTCAAGGAGTCTACTATGCATAAAGGCGTCTACAGCCTCCTTTACCGCAAGCCGTGGTGAGGTACATGCTATTGAATCAGTGAGAATTCGCATTTGATGTTCAATGAAGTGCGCAAACGAAGCTACTGAATGGTTAAATAATTTCGTTCGGGATATTTAGGAAGTCGAAACTCGAATCACTCTGAATGTCAACCTTGTTCAGTGATGCTCTATAGGATATCGTTTTCTCTCACTTTTGTATCTTGCCAGAATATACATCCCACAAACAATTCATTCGATATCTTCAGCTTCAAAACTTATCTCTGTACGTAGCTGGAAAATTCTTTGCAACACGTAGAAATGAAAATTTACTTTCCAAACTCTCTGTCCTCTACAGCCCAATCATGCTGGATTGTTTGCGATGGTGATATCGATCCAGAATGGGTGGAGTCTCTGAATTCCGTGTTGGATGACAACCGTTTGCTGACCCTACCCAACGGAGAGCGCATTCAGTTCGGTCCGAATGTCAACTTTTTGTTCGAAACACACGAACTCACCCAGGCCAGTCCGGCAACAGTGTCCCGTATGGGGGTGGTCTATGTAAGTGAGGAGTCTACAGAACCGCGGGCGCTCGTGGGGGCGTGGCTCGCACAACAGCCAGAGCAGGACCGTGACCAACTCGAGCTTCTCATCAATCAGTCATTCTACACCTGTCTGGACTGGGTTTATCAGAAGGTAACCAAAATGGATGAGAAGCAAGATTGCCTATAAAACTGATGTCTTTCAAGTTCGCTGGTTATCCACTCATTACCCACTAACTGCAACCAAGTCTTCCAACGCACTGAACACCGAAAAAGAATTTCTGATGCGATAATGAAAGTGTACTAAGCAGATTTGCTTGAGGTAGGTGACAGAACTATCCTTAGGAAAACTGCCAGTCGAGTCAAGTCATTGCATCATATACCCCTGTTATTTGTGTTAATAAGCAAGTGAAAATAGCAGATAGTCCTTCTTAGTTGCTAGTTGCTGCATACAAATGTGGGTCACGGTTCAAGTATACTATTGATCATGTGGTGCGAATCACAAAGAAAAAAGCACAGGGGCACATAGGAACTAAACGCATTGCACTCAACGTGTTGAATCGGGGAAGTTCACATCTTAGGCGCAGAGAATTTCAAGTTGTCTCTGTTCCAGCATTTGGTATGGAGAAACCCCGAAAGCGTTCCTGCAACTACTACTCTGGCGGGAATACAAAGTGAATAAAGAACACTATCCAACGGGTTCCCGCTACGGCTAAGGCAAATCCGAATAAATGTGATGTTTTCTGTATAGAAGATTCAGTGTCTGAACCGTGTGTTTGTTGACCAACAAATGTATCTGATAGTATCTCGAGACGGTCACATTAAAGTTTTCATATTAGCCGCAGTAGTCTTGCTGGGAGAGATTCCTTTAAATCCAGCGCAAACAATTCATGACCTCACTGTTTGGAGAGTACTCATAACCACCCCAGACGTGGACAAATACACTCATTTGCATATCAACTGGGTTTTCACGGAAGACTATTGAATCTCTCGTTTATGATATTCTTCAACTGAATGTACTGCGCAAAGGCTACCTCATGTTTGAGTTGGTGCAACATCCGAGATACCTCAGTACATTTTCATAGAAGAAACTACCCACAAGTTTGCTGAAAACTCTTCGACAGCCCATCACCAGTTTCACTCTTCTTGGGGATCATCAGTTAGAGTTCAAGTAGAACCTAAGGTTGACGGAAACTCGGGGACTGCGCCTACCTGATGAGCCCCAAGAAGGGCGAAAGCGGTTTTGGGCGGTCCACGAGTTTTCATCAACTTTTTGAGTAGTTTCCTTTATGAAATTATACTAATCCGAGATACTTCAAACACGCGCAGAAGTGGTTTTCGTGAAGAACTATCTCACTGCGCTCAGTATCACGTTGACGTGACGGAACAATAATACATTGAGTAAGTCACCGGAATAAAAATAGGGTGCTTTGGAGCATTCCGTTCATTCTTATACTGACCCATCCATAGAACCTAGCAGACCCCATTAACTGGCCTGGAGAATAATGGGATGCATACCCGTCAACCAGTTTCACTTTGGTAACCTGGTCGATACCTTGTTGACATTTGCATCTTACAGGTGTGACAATTCTCTTACATTGAAACACACCCATTGTTGGGTCCCTGGCAAGCTATCAAGTGCTCTGAGGCAACAGATTCAACTAATCGTGGAAAAGATGGGTTTCAGACACTTGAGTTTGTTTGCTGTAGTTGGGAGAGGTTGGTGCGGTTACTCTCAAAATGTCTTAATCCAGCTCAACTTAACTCGGATTCCCAACACACATGTTACCGCTTCTAAACACCAAGTAGCTGAACCAAAAGTGATGGAAATAACATGTAGGCTAAATACACTGATTAGTTGATTTCGATTCCAGCCTGCCAGTTTGTTGTACCCAGTGTCGCGTTCAAAAAAGTTGAAAGACAGAACGCCCGTACATCCTGGTGTGCGCTCCTTATGGAATGCCTCCCCAGGTAGGAATTTTTTCCATTGAGTTCCCACAGCGTTTTGTTGGTCGTGGAGAGATGTAAAATAACAATTTGTGGAGAAAGTTAGACTAAAATGCGCTGAGAACACCGTAAGACGGTGTCCTTTTTGTCCTTAACCAGAAGTAATGCGTATCTAGCACATCCCTCCCACGTATGCCACCCAACGCTCTCCGAATCGAAGATGTACTACACGGATGGCTAACATCCTGTAAGGAAACTTATTTTGACTGGGCACTGGTAGTCCAGAGGCTCTACGTTCAAATCATCATCAGACATTAACGCCTCGAGAGCCTTGACTTCCGACATGAAGCATTCAACATACTCACAGGTCCTTCCTCTGATTCATGATCCCGAACGGGGGACACCCATCTCAAGCTCGACTAAAAGCGTTGGTAAGCGGTTTTCCATGAACAAGGGTTTCTGAAGCAACTAAATATTTTTTGCAGAATTTGGTTAAAGCGCCCTTCTGTTCGGCTTCTGAAATCGCAGTGACTTTTCCCCGGTCATGTTGCGAGGTGTATACCCTGTGGAATTCCGCACTCCTAACACTTCAGAAGATGCGCCAAAATTTCAAAACTTTATTTCGCTTGTTTTACACCACAGTCTGATTGAAGGACACTCGAGGTTGATCATTATCCTCGCCATTTATGTTCATGCTCTGTTCAACCGAAAACTATGGCTCAGTGGCACTTCTTATTGTAAGTGAAGGCAATTGATGATGAAAAGATGACGGGAACTTTACGGCTGTTCCATCTTTATTGGAGATCATCAGCAGTGCATCTGTCAGGATAATCAAAGGGAGTTTCAAAACGATAATCTCCCGACTGGCAGTTAAAATAATTGGCCGTTCGACCACGAGAGATTTACCAGCGATGTAACTAACTCGCACTCAGACAGGATATAGCACAACTCACCCCAGACAATTTTACCGAATCTCACGATGTTCCGAAGGATTCTGACGGAAAAATGATTTATTTAAGACGAACCAAAAGAATTTTTAAGGAGTAATATAATGTAGTGACATCTGGTGGATTCCAGTTTCCCGCGATAAAGTGGCTGAGTCAACCACTTGAATGGCGGTACGAGAGAGTGAAAAACGACAACTTGTGGCTTTTAGCTTCACTTGTTAAGAAAACCACACGTTGTTCCTGAGCGCATGTTGACAGCCAACCATTCTTGAAGTATATTACATAGTATCCAGGTATTTTGTTTTCTCTGTAAATACAGTATACCTCTACAATGAATTCACCAACATACTGAGGCTTTTTAGCGTTGGCGAAACTGACAAAATAACATAGACCGCTTACATCAGCTTCGCGACACACAATGACGGTGATCCGCTCCTTTGGTTTCTTCATCACTTGGTTCCTCCCCATAACGATGGAAATCATAGGGAACATCATCAGTAGTGCAGTGCTATGCCAAGTAAACGGAAGGTGCCTTGTGCAACTAACTCGTTCGGTATTGATTGATGGTGTTCCGTCAGATTCGTGTGCCTCTCTGACGCTGTGATCCTTAACTACGATAATGAGCTACCCTGCAGCCTCACTTCAAGATTCCTTTATGCATTGAAACATTCCCTTCACTAAACTTCTTGCACGAAATTTTGTAGCTGCGGTCGAATCTCCACAGCCAAGCCTCACCGTGTGCAACAACTCCTATAAACTTTTTATATTCATACTAGGCAACGAATAACGATTGCTCTTACTTTTCCTGTTTGTTGGGCAAGGTCCCCTTGGGATATCAGACTGGATCTCGAGGGAAACTCATATTACGGGCGTGCATTAGAAGCCATTCTGAGAAGGCGCACAGGCGCGGGAAGGCGAGGATGCCAACATGGGGAATGTCGATATGCCAAGAGTTACTGGATTCTCAATAAGAGTATCATGCGAGCAAGGTGCTCTCCGGGCGAGGTTAACTTAGATATCCACGGAAAAAGCCGGCAATATCCATGAATATAAGTGGTTGATTAACAAAATCACCAACTGATTAACAGAAGTGACAGTATTCTCTTTTCTTACACGAAGTTATCCAGTGTACTGACAACAGAACAGTTGTATAATGAGCTGCAATCGTCTTCTGAGTGGGCGTTGCGACAGAGAGTTGGCAGCCCAAGAAATCTAGATTCCCTTAATACGGTACGCCTGAGTGGCACTACTTCGAATAAGGCCATCAGTGAGAATATTTCAGTTGTCCCAGTACACATACAGGGCTACCTCGCCAGTGTATAGCTAATGTTTTTAAACTATACACACTCACAATAGGAGAGGAGGAGTAGGTTTAGAAACTTCTGGGAAACAAAATAAAGTAGAGTTGACGGAAACCTGAGGAATGAGCCTACCTGGTGCGTTACAAGAAGAGCGAGACCAGCCATGGATTGTCTAACTGTTTTCAATAGTCTCGTGAGTAGTATGCTCCGTCAGGTTAGCTAGGTCTATTGCTGCACTACGTTCCGCCTTTGATCCGAGTGTTCGCCTAGGCCGAGTGAGTAGGCTACAAGTTTGCTCGAGATAAACGAAGAACCAAACAGAAGAATACCCTTCTAATGGCCGTCCAAAGTAGGTTTGTGATGGAGAATGGTCTCAAATTATAAACTGGTGTCGCAAGTCATTTCTAGACATGTCACTATTTTGTCTTGAACTACAAGAAGTTATTAAGACTGGCCCGCCAGAAGACGTGTTTATTCCAGTCAACCAAAACAAATTGCCAGCTATCTTAAGTAGATATACACGTTTCGGAGCAGCTAGCTGAACTCCACTGATCAGCTGAACCTCAACTGAATCACTGGTTTATAATGTTTTACAACCAAAGGTGCTCCACCAAGGCATCAACACGCTTCATTTGGAACTATATTCAACATATCCAAGCATTTTTCTCCACGTAACACTATTCATTAGGTTGACAAAATCTCCTGATAAGCTAAAACCGGCTCCAAACTTTTTGAGATTCATTCATTTGAAGAATGTTATAGCCGAAAGATGGGACTGAGTCTCCTGTTGGCGCGCTCCTACCACGGACTTCAGTGACTCGGTAGATCTAAAATTTCTGATTGAGACTTTGTCCTGTCAATGAAACCACTCTTATCTGAAGAACCGAGAAGCATTGTATGGCTGTTTCATCCTTATTGGGAATCAGCAGCAGTACGCACTTCATGAAACACCAGGAACTTTCGAATTCACGACCTCCCAGCGAGTAGACTGGACAGCTAATCCTCGGTCACGATCAGCTGGTTGGCAGCACTCCTCATCCCTCAATCATGGATTCGAAATCACGTGGCCACGGTTTCTGAGTAATCCCCCCAGTGACGGCTTCTCAGATGAACGTTTCATTCATCTAGTGGAAGTTCTCTTCCTCTGAGCTACCTATGGATCGATAGTGTATTTCTTTCCTACATTTCATTGAGTACTTGCTGCATATTTTATTTGTAGTACGGTGATTGCAGGTTTTCCCTTTTCTTCAGAATGATTTCGTTTTGGAAACCAGCCCAGCGGCAACTGTTTTCAATGGGTTGTCTCATCTTGTTGGAGCAACCACCACAGCACAGTTTGCAGTCGGTATGATACGTGGGTTGGGGGCCAATCTGACGGAAGCTTCTCGAGAAGCACTTGCTCTGCAGGTTTACGAAGCAACTGGAGAGACTCCTCCGGATCCCACACGCCCACTGGACGTTCAGGTATGTTCTAGTTATTAGTTCTATGAAGCATTCTTCTTTTGGGTGTAATGCACTTCATGCGGCACGTGAGCAGAGTGAAAATGAAAGACA